AAGTCTTGATCGCGCTGATTCTCGTTTCGTCTGAACCGGAATTTCCATCGGGATTTTACGATAAAACCGCAAAGACTTGTTTCTTCGTATAAGTTCGAATTAATCATCTAAAACGGCAACAGTTGACTTAACACCAAAGTTGCCTAAACTATACGAGAAATCTGAACTCTCTAAACCTAATCCGATTTTACGAAACTCTGCCACGCTAAGTCAAAAACATCCAATCATAAACACGTGAATGATTTTTTCGATATACAAAGCGCACCTAGTCGGTCAAATAAAACCAGCAGTACGAAGAAACAAGAACATGAGCTCCGATGGTTAAGTCTTCTCCCCGCTCCGATACTCTTGCTGGTAATTCGTTGAAGACCGGTAAGTAAAAAGACGAAGAACGAAGAATAGACGATCCCAAATCATCGATAAAACTAAGGTATGTCCGATTTGAAAATTTTATTAGACTTCTAATTTCTCGTAGATAAGAAACGAAAACGTCTTGTAAACTGCCGTGAAACCTAGAGAACTTAGAACTTAGAGGATAGTCTAGCACGCTAAGTCGTAAGCAATTTTTGTCTATCTCGATTTGTTGTTTTCTAACCATTCAGGCATAACTCGCAAACCGATGAAATCTCTCGTACAACCGAGAAACGATCGCCACGCATTCAAACACACTCATTTCCTAAAAGAAAGAGGGAGCTAGAGACGCTGACGTCGTCTTAGAACCGACTCGCTCCTAGAAGTTTTCGTATATCAGACATACTCCAAGTCATCTCCGATCCACCATGGTCTTTAATCGACCCGGATTGTCGATCATCCCAATCCTTCAAATGAAACTCGTCTTTCTTCTTTCGCCGAACATTTTTCCTCGCATCAAGAAAACGCTTTCTATACATCAAACTCTCGCAAAAAATAAGCGGAAAATATTCGGACGATGCGACGCCTCGTCGAAATCATCAGCAAACGACAATCTAAAAACCGTCTAAGCGCTAAAGACTGATCCAAACCGTCTGAGAAATAATCTCGAGGACTGTACAGCACCTCCCGTCGCAATCATGCGGTTAGAAAATCTCTGCGAAACTTCAGAGTGAAACTCGATTATTTGCCGAAGTCATAAAGATCTTCTCAAACTTGATAAAACAAGTATAAGAGTCGAAATCTTTAGGCATCAAATCATTGATCTCATTTTCCGTTAAATCAAGTGAGTCACGGAATAATGTCAAGAACATTTGCGGCGAAAGAAAGATCGAGAACACAAAGCAGCAATAGAGAACACATCCTCCCTTCTCGCTGACTGATCCTATTGCTGATCATGTGATTCATTCCGCCCGAGAAACCCGCTAAAACATTTTGCGACTAGATCTCGGTGAAATAACTTTTGGTAAAACTCCACAAGTGACTCCGAAAAAACTATCACCGAAGAATAAAAAACTAAGCGGAAAGGTTTCTCAAAAAATCTGCGGAAAAATTGTTAACCCAATGCGTCGTGCCGATTTACTAAATTCATCGCCCGTTACCTACGCGAGAAATCCTTCGTATATTCAGGATCATGTCATAACGAAGTAACTCTCGAAACGTAACAGGTTTTGCGAAAAATACTTTCCTTATAGCAAAAACCAAGCTATACGATCCGGCACTAGGCGGCCAATCTGAACTTTGCCTCCTCGCGACACGATCTGAAAGATCTCCCTCTTTAGCCCATCGGTTCACGAGCATCCGCTCTCATACCTCTCGGTTACATCCGAGAATGAGATCGCCCCGTAAACGACTCCGCACGGGCTCTACATCGAGCTTCTTAGGATCTGTCTCCCTCGAGTAAAAAAGAAACAACTTCCATACAAAGCAAAATTTATACGAAACTTTCATCATATAAATCAAACCTACAACGGAAAAACGTTTTCTATAAACACGGGCATACTTGGCATATCAAGCTCGACAAACGCTACTTGGCTATTGTCCGATCACGCTTCACTTCAATGCCAAGTTTACAAACCGACTCGACCTTTTCGATAGCACGAAAGTGTCGTGGTCTAATCCTATACCAAATACGACCTTGGCTGTGCGGCTGAACACAACCTTCACGCTAAGCCAATATATTCAACGGATAATGCGAACTTGTCGAAAATCGGCTAAGTTCTGTATTCTCGCGATTCACTCTGTTCCCGAAGCAAGTTTCCTACAAAATCCGACGTATAAGAAAACACTCGTACCAGAGCTCCTAAAGCCGTACGAATCTCGGAAGGTCAACACTTCACAAAGCACCGTAACGAAAAACGCTTCGTTTCGGGGAAATAACTTACGCGACCTCTCGGTCCTAATTGCTCTAGCACAAATCGTAAAACTACCTAACATCGAAACAGGAATGTAAGTTTTAATTGCGAATATCCGCAAACGAACCAAAATATTCCTGCAAAGCAGGGTTAAGACAAAACCCTCGCAACACCGCGCAACATCTTCGAGCCCGCAAACGTTCCAAACACAAAACGCGGCATATAAAATAAAAACCAACTTTCGGCACTGCGAGACGTCGCAGACGCCCGGAGATTAGTTTTTCGACATAAATACCTTCCTCGATAAAATCATTCTCTTGGAAGACCTAACAGTCCGTTCGCGACTATAAAATACGCAAAACTTCTTAACATACGTATCCTTCGCGAAGGCCCAAACTACGTAAACATCTATCACTTAAAAATAGTTTGTTGCTGATCACAACGAACTCGCAACAGTCCTAAACAAACTTAAGTTATCTCGCAGAGATAGCTCTCGAACACCCGACACAAGGGTAATAGCGC